TCTACTTTACGAAAATATATAGTTTGGTGGAGGTAAAATACATTGGCCAGCCTTACAAATGTCCCAAATAGGACATGTGCGCAGGTTGACTACATGTCAAAATTCCAAATTGAAAATTGGATATGCGCACCTGCCAAATGTGGCCTTTTAGCCCCCAAACAACCCAACAAGCCTATGCATGGGTGGTATCACTGTACTCAGGAGATGTTGCTGAACACATATTGGGGTATTGTTTGGCAGTGACACATAACACGCTCTGTTAATTCATGCCTAAATTACAATGTGTGTGAAAAAAAACACAAAAAAATGACTTCCTAAAAGTTTGACAAAGTCTGGTGGTAGAATTAGTGCATGGAAAGTGTTAAAAAAACACCATTTGAAATACCCTAGGGTGTCTACTTTCCAAAAATATATGGTTTGGTGGGGGTAAAATACATTGGCCAGCCTTACAAATGTCCCAAATAGGACATGTGCGCAGGTTGACTACATGTCAAAATTCCAAGTTGGAAAATGGATATGCGCACCTGCCAAATGTGGCCTTTTAGCCCCCAAACAACCCAGCAAACCTATGCATGGGTGGTATCACTGTACTCAGGAGATGTTGGGGTGTTGTTTGGCAGTGACACATAACACGATCTGTTAATTCATGCCTAAAGTAAAATGTGTGTGAAAAAAACACACAAAACTGATTACCTAAAAATTTGACAAAGTCTGGTGGTAGAATTAGTGCATGGAAAGTGTTAAAAAAACACCATTTGAAATACCCTAGGGTGTCTACTTTCCAAAAATATATAGTTTGGTGGAGGTAAAATACATTGGCCAGCCTTACAAATGTCCCAAATAGGACATGTGCGCAGGTTGACTACATGTCAAAATTCCAAATTGAAAATTGGATATGCGCACCTGCCAAATGTGGCCTTTTAGCCCCCAAACAACCCAACAAGCCTATGCATGGGTGGTATCACTGTACTCAGGAGATGTTGCTGAACACATATTGGCGTGTTGTTTGGCAGTGACACATAACACGATTTGTTAATTCATGCCTAAATTACAATGTGTGTGAAAAAAAACACACAAAAAATGACTACCTAAATGTTTGACAAAGTCTGGTGGTAGAATTAGTGCATGGAAAGTGTTAAAAAACCACCATTTGAAATACCCTAGGGTGTCTACTTTCCAAAAATATATGGTTTGGTGGGGGTAAAATACATTGGCCGGCCTTACAAATGTCCCAAATAGGACATGTGCGTAGGTTGACTACATGTCAAAATTCCAAGTTGAAAAATGGATATGCGCACCTGCCAAATGTGACCTTTTGGCCCCCAAACAACCCAACAAGCCTATGCATGGGTGATATCACTGTACTCAGGAGATGTTGGGGTGTTGTTTGGCAGTGACACATAACACGATCTGTTAATTCATGCCTAAAGTACAATGTGTGTGAAAAAAACACAAAAAAATGACTACCTAAAAGTTTAACAAAGTCTGGTGGTAGAATTAGTGCATGGAAAGTGTTAAAAAAACCACCATTTGAAATAACCTAGGGTGTCTACCTTCCAAAAATATATGGTTTGGTGAGGGTAAAATACATTGGCTGGCCTTACAAATGTCCCAAATAGAACATGTGCGCAGGTTGACTATATGTCAAAATTCAAAGTTGAAAAATGGATACGCGCACCTGCCAAATGTGGCCTTTTAGCCCCCAAACAACCTGACAAGCCTATGCATGGGTGGTATCACTGTACTCAGGAGATGTCGTTGAACACATATTGGGGTGTTGTTTGGCAATGTCACATAACAGGATCTGTTAATTCATGCCTAAAGTACAATGTGGGTGAAAAAAACCAAAAGAAAATTACTACCTAAAGGTTTGACAGTCTGGTGGTAGAATTAGTGCATGGAAAGTGTCAAAATGCCACCTCTTGAAATACCCTAGGGTGTCTACTTTCCAAAAATATATGGTTTGGAGGGGGTAAAATACATTGGTCGGCCTTACAAATGTCCCAAATAGGACATGTGCGCAGGTTGACTACATGTCAAAATTCCAAGTTGGAAAATGGATATGCGCACCTGCCAAATGTGGCCCTTTAGCCCCCAAACAACTCGACAAGCCTATGCATGGGTGGTATCACTGTACTCGGGAGATGTTGCTGAACATATATTAGTGTGTTTTTTGGCAGCAACACATAACAGGATCTGTAAGTTTATACCTGAATTGCAATGTATGTGAAAAATAATAAATAAAAAAAAATACATATGCGAAGTTTGGCAAAGACTGGTGGTAAAATGGCTGCATAGAAAGTGTCAAAATATCCTTAGATGAATACCCTGGGTTGTCTACTTTAAAAAATATATATGCATGTGGGGTGATTTCCAGAGATTTATGAATGATAATAGTATTACAATGTCACTATTGATAAATGTTAAAAATGTATATTTTGAAACCGCAATATCCTACTTGTACTTATAGCCCTATAACTTGAAAAAAAGCAAAAAAGCAGGTAAACACTGGGTATTTTTAAACTCAGGACAAAATTTCGAATCTATTTAGCAGTTCTTTTCATTATCTTTTGTAGATGAGTAAAAGATTTTTCAAGTAAAAGTCAAAAAACATTTTTTTCAATTTTGCATCATATTTTAAATTAAATTACATGAGATTATATAAATAATGGTGTGTAAAGAAACCCCTTTTTGTCCTGAAAAAAACAATATATAATTTGTATGGGAACAGTAAAGGAGAGAGCGGAAAATTACAGCTAAACACAAACACCACAAAAGTGTAAAAAGAATCCTGGTCGCAAATGTACAACATCGCAAAAACAGTCCGGTCCTTAAGGGGTTAAAATCCTTTTAAGTTGTTTGTTTTTGTTAAAATCTAGTACAATGAGCAATGAGAAGTTCTGGTTTCTTTGATTTTTTTCTTTGTGTATGTTATTTTCTGTTTAATAATAATGGTTGATTAATAGTAGACTCTCTCACTTTGTCTTCATAGCCTTTTTGAATAAAATTTTTCCTTTAAAATCTTTTCTTAAAAATAGGGGTCTCCGAACAATTTCTTCTTAGCCTCAACATCTGACTTTTAGGTATACTTTCTAGCCATACTTTATTATGGCAGCTTTTAGTGTCTATGTAATTGTTGACGTGTATATCTTTAAAATGTGTTTTTAAGTATATTATTATTCCTTTTACCTATCTCAAACCTCACCTGTCCTAGTTCTGAAACCTCATTCTACAATTCCACCCTGTCCTCTCAACTAGACATCATGGCACCTTCTACATTTAAATGCCGCAGGCGCCCCCAACAACAACCCTGGCACACCAAACTCACTCAATACCTCCAAAAATGCTCCAGAACCGCTGAACGCTGTTGGAGAAAGTCTAACTTTCTCCACTATAAATGTATGCTGCGCTCATACAGCTTGGCTCTTTCCTCTGCAAAAGTAAATTACTTCAATACCCTCATAACCACACTCTCCCGCGAACCCAAATGATTATTTCACACATTTAACTCTCTTCTTCGCACTGTTGTTCCTTCTTCACCTACTAACTTGACCGCCTCAGACTTTGCAACTCACTTCACTGACAAAATCTCTACAATCAGGGAAGAGATCTCTCATCTTTCTTCTTCCTCTTACAATACTTTCCCTAACTTCACTCCCTCTGCTGTTCTATGTTCATTCGCACCCGCTAAATTGGAAGAGGTTTCTGCTCTGCTCCAGTCCACCCACCCAACCATCTGCTCCCTAGATCCAATTCCCTTGCATCTCTTCTGTACTCTGTCTTCTTCTCTTTCTCCACATCTCACTAAAATTCTCAATCTCTCTCTCTCCTCTGGTATATTTCCATCGCCCTTCAAACATGCAACTGTAACCCCAATTCTAAAGAAGCCAAACCTTGACCCTAACTCCCCATCCAACTATCGTCCTATCTCGCTACTGCCTTTTGCATCGAAGATCCTTGAAAGAATTGTGTATGTGAGATTGACAGACTTCCTTGAGTTCAACTCTCTGCTAGACCCGCTTCAGTCTGGTTTCCGCGCTAAGGACTCTGTGGAAACGGCACTGACCAAAGTATCCAATGATCTACTCACTGCAAAATCTTGGGGTCACTACTCTATCCTAATTCTCCTTGACCTGTCTGTGGCTTTTGACACTGTTGATCATTAACAGCTTCTTATCATCCTCCGCAATATCGGTCTAAACGATATTGCTCTCTCCATCAGCATCACCATGCACGCTCGCTGCATAGGTGTTCTCTTTGACTCCGACCTCTCCTTCAAGCCTCATGTTCAGTCTATCGCCAAATCCTGCCATTTCCATCTTAAAAACATTGCACGCATCCGCACCTACTTAACGCCTGATGCGACTAAGGTGCTGGTCCATTCCACTGTCCTTTCTCGCCTTGACTACTGTAATCCGCTTCTCAGTGGTCTTCCGTGCTCCCAACTTACACCATAGCGGTGTAGGTGGCAGCATCGATGGAGGAGGAGGAGGTAGCCAACACTGTTTTTTATATATATATATATTTTTTTTTTTTAATTGGGTTAGCCCCAAAAATATTGGGACATATAAAAAAAAGAAAACTGTTCCGCAGGGCAACTGACCCGTGCGTGCTGCATCTGAAACTCCACTATCGCCTGCTGCTGCTCGCAAAGTCTTATGAGGCGGTGAGCGGAAAGGCCGAAGTTACGCTGCAGCGCAGATAGGCGAGCAGCAGCAGGGTGACAACAGACGGCCCGCACTTTCTGCAGCAGCTCTGATATATCTGGGTATTGTCAGGATTACAGAATGATCCAGCACGTAGAACTGTGTAACACAGAGGACTGATAGGTAACGTATACCAGACCTTAGAATGGCCGGACTAACGTACCAAAGAATAGTAAGGGATAGCCGAGGTCAAGGGAAACAGAAAGAGACGCAATGATAAGGAAAAGCCAGGAGTCAGAGATGCCAGAAAACAGGGAAGTCAAAAACAATGCCAAAGTCAAATAAACAGAATAACCAGAATCAATAACACGCTCTTGGACAACCACAAGGGAAACCACGACAGGGCACTGAGCAGGATGAGAACTGGGCCTAAATACCCCTCCTCTAGGTCTGATAGGCTGTAACCGGCCTTTGACCCCAAAGGCAGTTAACAGATCTCATTTGCATAATTGCTGCTCAGCAATAACCCTTCTGTGGATTTGGTTGTTGCTCGGCACAACTTTTCCTGTGTGGACAGTAAATGTCATTAACCACATTTTTGTAAGCGGATGAATACGTGACAGGTATACACCATGGCATCACAAGGGCCACCCAGAACTGGCTCAACTCCCAACAAGCCAAGTTCCCGGAGGAGATCACCCAGCTCGTCATGCTAGAGCACTTTTTCAATGTGCTGCCCAACGACAAGGCGACAACGCATTTGTATGTCAATCCATATCAACTTTCGATGCCATTTACTGCGCCTACCATGGTGACCATGGGTAATGGGGAATCAGGGTTCGATTCTGTACAGGGACCCTGACCAATGGCTACCACATGCAAGGAAGGCAGCAGGCGCGCAAATGACCCAATCCCGACGCGGGGAGGTAGTGACGACAAATAACAATACAGTACTCTTTAGAGGCCCTGTAACTGTAATGAGTCCACTTGAAATCCTTTAACTCTGACCAATTGGAGGGCAAGTCTGGTTTGAGCAACTGACCCGTGCGTGCTGCAGCTGAAACTCCACTATTGCCTGCTGCTGCTCGCACAGTCTCTCCAGCATGTGCAAGGTGGAGTTCTACCTTGTGGGCACGTCGCATATGAGGTGGTGAGCGAGAAGGCCAAAGTTACGCTGCAGCGCAGACAGGTGAGCAGTAGCAGGGTGAGAACGCTGAAAGTGCGCACAGCCGCTACAGTGAATGTCACATCCTGTTCCAAGTTGCGGATCAGTCTGGTGATGGCTTCTGGTTTCCAGTACTCTTTTTACTGAAGCTGCATCAGGGTCCTGGTATGTGGCCGCACAAACGCTGGTGCTCAACACCAGGGGTTACCCTGCAACAGACCCTGCTAATCCATTCCACACTGTGACTCCTAACTTCAACATCAGGCATACTGGGTCCCGGTCGTCCGACCGCCGCCCAGACAGTTTCTGGGTCCCAGTCACTGGACTTCGAAACTGCGAATGGCTTGTTAAATCTGTTATGGTTCTTTTATATCGCTCCATCTGTTACTTGGATAACTGTGGGAATTCTAAAGATAATATATGCCGACGAGTGCTAGGGGACGGCCGCTCCGCTTTTGCACCCTGCTCCCTCTTATGCTCTGCTGGTGCCTCTGTGCAACAACCGCCTCTTCCTCCAAACTGCACACGTCACTCGCATGACCTTCATTCAATGTGGGGTCTAGGACCTCATCATCCTCCACATCATCTTCCACCCACTCCTCAACCCTGCCCTCATTGCCAGTCTGCACACTGCAGAAAGCTACAGCAGTTGGCACCTGCGTTTTTCCAGCATGTAAAGTCTGCAAAGGACATTTGGAAATTGTTTTAGAATTGTATCCAGGCAACAGTTTTCCCTATAAACTGACCTCTCTGTTTGACTTGTGAGGATATTGCCCCCGAATTACAATATTGTTATATTGGTATTTGACGCTTCTGTTTGACTCTCAGATATGAAGAGCACACCCCAAAATGTACCATTTAGCAGTTAGCACCCAGAAAATTAGAATGTTTACAACTGTGCTGTAAGCGCACTATGTGAAAAATTGTGATTGAAAACCCCTTACACCTGAAGTGTGTGGATAGTTAATACCATGGTAAACAAAAATCTGCACACTTGTTTAACATTGTATTAACTATATATGTAAAGATAGCATTCCTGGAGTTTTGGGCGGGCTTAGAATCTATCCCCCTTTTACCTTTCTCCTGATATTCTGCCTACCTTTTGGAACTTGCATGGTTACCGTAATTAACTTAGGTTTATCTTTTTTTCTCATCATCCTTATCCCCTGGTTCATCTTGGATATGTGTTCCTCCCACTGCCCCAAGAATGGAGAGGGGTAACACATTAACAGTTGCATCTAGACTTTTCTTACTTATATTGCCAGGAGGTTTAAATCATTAAAGTGTGAGGGAGGTTGTGCAGATATGTTGTTTGGTTCACATGGCAAAAAAGGTGAATGGAAGCAACCCACAGAAATGAGTTACCATCAATGGGTAATACAATTAACTTTCCAACATGACATATCCCACTCTGTGTCTGAGGAATATTGAAACCTTGTTGTTTCATTTAAACGTAATCCCTTCATAATTATATTAATGGAAGGAGAAAAAAAAAACCTCCATCTCTTTGGAAACAGAAAGTCTGCCCCATACTTTTAGTCTATTCAGACACATCAACAAAAGGAATACAATAATTAGCTCCTGCTACTCTACTTGCAAACTACTTAGGTGTTTTAGGTGATCCAATCGACTTCCTGAGATCTGTTCTCTCACTGTTACCAATAGTATTTATGCCCATTCCATGGACGGAACTCACCCAAAAAGTCAGAGAATACCTCCTTGTGATTGGCTATCACAGAAAACCTTCATTTCCTTGCAATTAAAACCTGTAGAACAAATGCCCATACTATTTATGGATATCAGAATGAAGAAATATCATAACATGAATCCGAAGGGACTCATATTTTTAGGAATACAAACAGTTAAAAAGTCATGGGTGTGTAACGGACCACGGGTAACCCAACATCAGGAGATATGGAAGGTGACCCCTTCGGGAGCTATCGAAAAGGCATCGACTTCAAAGGCTCTAACGTCGGCTACCCAGTGAAAAGAGACTAGGCAGAGTAAAATCGTCATCTAGGCCGAAAGTTGGCGGAGTGAAAGTCTGTCGTTAGATGGCCATCCTCTTAAGAAGGTGAGGACGAGGTCCACGTCCCAGAGGGGAGCGTATTTGGGGGCCGGGGGATGTTTGAGCCGTATGCCTCTCAATAATCGGCATACCATAGGGTCTTTACCCGCCGGAATCCCTTGGATAGGAATATGGGCCGCTGAGATCGCCGATCAAACTATGTTGATCGTTCTATATGATTTCCCAGTTGTAAAAAGTGATGACAGGAAATTCAAAATGGCGGGAATAGGTGCCGTAAGTGGATCGATGTCCCGTTCCATGCACCAAGAGGACCAGGAGGTCCAAGCAGAGAGGTTGAATAGTCATCATGTGGGATAGGACCTTCTCCACTTCCATAATGTAGGTAAGGACTTGGCACTGATAAGAGGGCAGTTGAGGCAGGGGTCAATAGTAGGAGAGGATCCTACAGTAGTTATGGTACCAGCAGTACCAGATATAACACCAGCAGGGTAATGTTCAGAGAATAGTACCAGCAGTACTAATGACCCAAGCAGGGTAGAATAGCTCAGGAACAATAAGTACCAGTAGTACTGTATATATATATATATATATATCACCCCAGCAGGGTGTAAATGATGTATTGGGATTTTACTCTGGGCAGCACCCAGTCTGCAGAGATTACAACAGTAGAGCTCTTATAGGCAGCACCTTTATGGGGCCTCACCCTATAGTGCACATATACCACAGTAGTAGCAGAGACTTTCTGTGGGGACCCCTGCCTGGATGAGGATAATGGGAGTGGAGGTTGAACCTGAAACAGTAAGGGGATATAAGTGACCAACTGGTTGAGTACAGGTAAATAAAAATAAGGTAGATATGCCAAGGATATAAATAAGAAATTCTTACCTTGTTGTAATGAATGTTGTATCAAAAAGGCACTGTGCATTGAAGAGATGTGGCTGTAGACCTCCAGAACTGAAGCAGACAGAGTGGGTGATCTCACAAGATGGCGGTCGCGGGTCACTGAAATTGTGGGAGATAGAACCGGCCATCGGCCGGTGCATGTAAACGCGCAGTTAGGCGGCCGGGAGGGGATAGAGCCCTGCAGAGACTAAATCCCAAGCAGGAGGGGGAAAACCGGCAGAATCGGCCAGAGGAAAGCAAAACCAGAGGGGGGAAGGTAGAGTGTCCAGTGCACAGTCTGAGGAAGGCTGTGGTGAAGGAAGCCCCAGAAAGTATCCTGAGTAGGATAGAGATATAAGGGGCAGGAAAGTGAAAGATGAACAATAAAAGCTTAATAAAAAAACATACAATATAATACAAGGAATAAGATATAATAAATGTCAGAAAACATGAATAAATGTAAGGAGCTCAATATTCTGACCTGTCTGCTGATGGAGCAGTAAAGAAAGAGGAGGAGGAGCCTGTTCACTGGGAATACTATACCTCCTACTGTTTTTTGATTGGTTCTTACTATCCCTTTCTTTACTGCTATGGAGTTTAGTAAAGAGGGTTTTGCAAAATACGATGCCTCCTGTCATGTAATAAAATTGGGTGATAGGCAGAGGAACTGGATATTGGATTGGCTGTGTAAGAAAGCTTTCTTACTGCATATGGGCTGGCCGGATTTAGCAACATTATTATTTGGTTATACACAGTTTCTGGTTGTGGAGATTCTCATCGCGAGAGAATGGAAGCAACCCTCAGCAATTAGTTACCATCAATGGGTAATACAACTAACTTTCCAACTAAAGATGCTGGAGAAATAAATTGGAATAAAATGATAAGAGAGAAATGTCTTGATAAAACGTTGGATTTAATAGTATCTGATTAAAACAGTCACTTTAGGATTAGATAAATTATATAAAGAAAAGATAGGAATTGCTCTTCCCTGCCCAGCTAACTTTTCCGCACAGGCAGAATATATTATGTATGAGTAATTGTTAAGTCTCTGCATGTTAATATTATATGTACCTCTTTTTTGTATGACAAAAACCTAAAAAAATATTTAAAAAGAGCAATTAAGCACATTTAAGCACATAAGCACATTTTAGGTGTGTGTTGTGTCACCTTTTGGTATCTGCTTCCCATCTGATCCATGGCGTGTGGATTGGGTGCTTGTTCAGGTGCTCTCCGATCTCAGAGCCATCTATCCTGCTCAGGAAGCTGTCCTTCCACGCAGTAGGCCTTAAGGCCTCGTGTGTGAGTTCTCGTGCCCAGGGCTAAAAAGAAAGGCATTTGTGTGTGCAGCAGAATGCTCGGCAGCCAATTCTGGTGGTGCTTTGCTCGTGTGAGGGGGGATGCGGCTAATATCAGCAGATTTTTAAGTAGTCGCTTGAAACTGTAGGAAATGGCCACCACGCCAGTGCTCGGCCAGGCTCCGCCCCTTGCCAAGTTATGTTTAATAAAGTTTTGACATTATATAATGATAAC